CTCGCTGTGCCCTCTCTGCCCCCCCCCCCCCTCTCTCTCTCCCACGCACGACGATCTCCAAAATATCGCCATTTAACGGCTGCGGCGTATGTATGTAAATTGCCCCAGATTTTTCCGCTGAGGTACCGCGGCAGAGGGGTGTCCCTGACGGTGTGCGTCAACCGCCTCACGAGTGGCTTGGTCGCGCTGGCGTTTCCCCTCCTGGAGAGGGGCTTCACGGCCGGCGGCACCTTCTTCCTCTTCAGCATCTTCTCTGTGGGCACCGTGTGGTTCTACTACGTGAGGAAGAGGGGCCGGGAGGGGGGGGCAGGGCGGCGTCGGGGCGGATTNGGGGCGGATTGCGAAAGACGATACTTTTTTTTTTTTTTTTGTCAAGGCCTGCATTGTGTTTCCGTCATTGGTTCCTCCTTGGATGTGCGTATTTTTCGAACTCTACCCAATCGCTTCGTTTTTGTTGCCGTTGCAACCGCTTTCGTCGTGCGAAGCACCTTCTACCGCACGGTCTTGCCTTCTGTTCTGGCGAGCAACGACCGTGACGCAAGTCTTGTCGCATGCATCCCTCCATTTTTGCTCGCGAAGGGATCAGCAAGCATCCTCTATCCCTGCTCAACAAAACAGACAAACCACGTTTCAGTAGTTAATAGTACGAGGAGGTGCCCATGACATATATCCTGCTGTGCACGTTATTTTGGTCGTCGTGTTGTTGGGTTTTGCTCACCACTCACCGCTCACCACACGCCATTTGATTCTCAACGGACCTTTCGGTACAAGTGTTGTTCCCTTCTACGCCCCTCCCGGAGGAGGCGCATGTCGAATCGCTTATTAATACTCAAGTCGACAACCGCTATTGAAAAAAAAAAACTAAATTCCCAGACCCCGTATCGTCGCCGGTGCTTGGTGTTTTCACACCGCGCGCGAGGAAGTGTAGACAGCGAAGCCGGCGAATCCCGTCTCTTCCAGTACTTCTGTAGGTTTGAAAACACTCACCACCTTGGTGTTTCCTTTAAGGATTCCCCCGCAGCGCTCTTTTTTTCTCCCCCCCGCTCCTTCCTCTCTTGGTCCAGCTTCCCATGTGCGTTCTTTCCCTCGAATAGGACCTCCTTTGCTAGCCCCTGTAACTCGTCCGTCGTGAGTTACTTTTTTCTTTAACCCATGTATGATGATATCCGATTGGCTGTTCTATCTTCTAACATATATAGACCAAGATACCGGAGACGAAGGACAGGACCCTGGAGGAAATTTCCGCGGGTGCCGCAAAGGAGGCATCTGAGGGTGACACGGCGACCGCGCTCGGCTTCGCCCCCACCGCAGAGCCCGGGACTGTTGATTCTCTCTGACTCAGGCCCCTCTTTTAGTTTAATACATGTTTGTCGTCCTTCATTTGTTGTATGCTTCCTCGTGAGGCTTAGAATGGCAGCGGTGAGGGGATTTGCTCTTTCAACACGAACCCCCTCGAGGAGGCTGGTCTTTTTTCTGGTGCTGCTAATGGGATTTTTGTTTGTGTGTGTCTAGGTATGGCGTACTCGAAGAGTTTAACGAGTTTCGGGTGAAGGTAATGGCGGGAGAGACGCAGAGTGCGCGATGCCGACGCAGCTGTGTGAGGGGGCAGGGTAGGGAGAGGGACACACGCATGCGACATGTTGCCGAACACCTCACGCCCATGCATAGCCTCCTTGATTTCAGTCGAATGAAGTGGCTTCCAAGTGATCGGTTCCAACTCGTTAGCAGCTGTGTACGGGAAAACACGTGCTACGTGCTGCGCCCTCTCGCTTGTGGTACATAGATAGGTTTGTTTGTGAGCTCTGCAGCATGGCATCTTTACGGCGTTTTTTTTTGCTGAGGACGAACACGGTAAGCGAAGAGAGGGACGATTGCATCATACGTTTCTCCGCGTTCTCTACCGCTCTCACAAATTTCTCCCTGCAGCGTTTAGTATTGTGTCTGTCGTGGCCTCTGCTTTACGAAGTTTTTTTCCGGGGTTAGGCGAGGTCGTTAGATATTGTCTTAAGTGGGCGGGCGGAAGGGGGAGGCTCGCGCTATATTTTGTACAAAAGGTTAATTGAGGTTTAGTGGCGCTGCTGTTCACTCGCTGCTGATGGGGCGTGCTTGCTGCGTCATTTGTTTGTGCTGTCTGTATTGATGGAAAAGCGTTTCTTCGGATCCTACTGCTGCGGTGTGTTGCACTATTCCGTAGATGAGGAATTTTGTTTCTTTTCCGGGCGCTGAATGTAGCAGGTGATTGGAATGTCGAGCAGCAAGCACGATATTATTGACCATATCTCCGCACAAAAGTCTGCAAGCGACGAGAAAGAACAAAAGAAAAGGACGCAACAGTCCAAGCTAAAAGGATTTCCTCCCTCGCCGGGAATTGAACCCGGGTCTCATCGGTGAAAGCGATATATCCTAACCATTGGACTACGAGGGAAGTCGATATTGGGGAGTACGTGGCGGATGTACTGAATATCATTGATTCACATGTTGTAGGAGGATTTGGGAAATGTGTTTGAGTAGAAGTGTTATTTTGGTACAATCAATGTCGTGGGTTGACAAGCCTTACCCCTTTTATGTTATACATATGCGCAGCAGGCCATTGTTTGCAGGCACGCCCGTCAGCTAGGCTGTTTGCGTGTGCAAGTCTACAACGGACTACAGTACCGTATTTTACTGCGGCTGTAACCTGGATGATACTACTACTGCTGTAGGCTAGAAGACTATATCTACACTATGTAGTCTACAACAATACTGCGTGTTGATGCATATCCTTGTGCATTCTGTTCCATAGCAAACAAACGCGCCATACACAGATAGTCTAGATGAATAACAATCATCAATTCGTCAGCGCAAAAAAAAAACGCATGTGTGCAATCAACGGACTTCGTGTAGATGATGCACGTGATGAGGAACGGCGCGAGACGCCGCTTGGAAAAGAATAGCGTTACGAATTGTTGTTTTCTTCACATTAAAGTCGTGTCAGTTGCTAACCCGAAAATCTAGCAAAGGCTCGGTTCATGGTCACAAAATGCTATGCATAGCGTCAGAGGATCTAAACAAACTTATAACACACAACATTGCGCGCCCTGAACTTGTACCATGCCCACCATGGTGTTACTTTACAGGCAGCAGCACCCCAGGCAGCTGGGCTGGAGTCGACAACCATTCATTTTGGTAAAGTGCCGGACAGGGGGAATGATGCTGCTGTTGTAGTCGAATGTAGTGTGTGGACGTCGGGTAGGGTTCAGTTTTTGGGCACGCAACGTGCTGCAGGGATGCAGGTGTACTTCCTCGGGCTTGTGTGCCCTTTTCTTGCTAGTTTTGCGTGTTCTTTGGATCTCTCTTCTGGTATGGCTCTTCTAGCATTTTTTGTGACCACGGACCGACCGCGTCTTTGCTAGTTTTGCGATTAGCAACTAACACGAGGTTAATGTGAAGACGACATCAACAACAACAACAAAAACAACAACAACAACAACGCTATGACGAAGGGGTAAAATGCGTGTGAATCACAAAAAGTACGGGCGTCAAGACGCCGAAAACAGGCGAACAAGATCGACCTCGAACCAGTCAACGCCAATGATATGGGGATGGATGGAGTGTAGACGCATCGTAGAACGCGTTTTCGTTTGAAGTTGGCGTCTTGTTTGAGAGTAGATGTGACAGATTTGCGTAGAATAGTAGGGTAAGATGTTATCATGAACGGAGAAGAAAGGGCTTTTCCAACACGGACATGTAGCATGGATCAAAGCATTTATTTTTTGGATTTCAGCTTTTTTTACAAGAAGAGGACATGAACGCAGGAGTATTTTAGCAAGCTTACGAACGCATGTAGGATACCATGAGGATTGTCATTGGTTTTATTTCAAGTTGAAGAGGATAAATTTTTACGATGTAAGTGACAGTAGAAATAAGTCCTACATATGTTGTTGTACGTCGTATTGGTTTAATATTCATGTAGAGGTTATCGTGCGGGACCTAGTAGTGTACTTGAAGGAGGAGGAACGGAGGGGGGGGGGATTGCTGGACCGAGTCCGGAGGGCGGTGTGGGGGATGCTATATGCCGACGATGCCGGCGTTGTGTCGAAGTCCGCCGACGGCCTGGCGAGGATGATGACCATTATCGTGGAGGTGTTCCGGGAGTTCGGGCTGACGGTGTCGGAGAGGAAGACGGAGACCCTGGTGATGCGGGTGAAGGAGAGACAGCGACCGCCGCCGCCGCCACCGCCGGTGCTGACCATCGAAGCAGCGGGGCAAAGGTACGCACAGACGACCGAGTTCCGATACCTGGGCGGCCTCGTCAACGAGCAGGGCGACCTTACCCGAGAGATCAACCACAGGAGCAAAGCAGCGTGGGCGTGCATTAAGCGATACGCCACGGAGCTCTTCGACCGACCGGGAGCACCGTTTCGCCTCAAAGCCCGCCTGCTCCAGGCGGAGGCAGTGGAGGCACTGCTATACGGCTGCATGACATGGTCCCCACGCCGCAACCACTACGGAATGCTGCAGACGACACACCACCGGCTACTCCTGCGAGTCATCG